GCAGGTAAGCAGACATTGAGAACTGAAAGCTGACTGGAGCTGCACAAATCCTCCTCCAGGCTTTTCCTCATGCTTCTTCCTTTAAATTCTTTCTGTATCAATTACCACATTTCTACTCTCTGCTCTATGAACTTTTCCTGAACATAATCATTCAAGCTCTACAAAAGTAGCTTTAAAAATAAAACAACCTACAAAACAAAGCACCCCAATGAAACAGGAATTATCTTGTTTTAAAGTTAAAAATAAGTTTCCTCTGAGGGCAAAGTAGTACCCAACTTTACTGCAAATGCAGAAACTCAACATAAGAGCAGCGAGTCTGAAACCATGGCAGAATTAGAAACTAGAGCACCTGTCTCCTATTTCTTGATTGAGGAAAAGATGATTTAGGTAAAATGTTATTAAAGTGTAGAAGACATGAACTCACTCCTTCACACATCCCCCAAATGTAGCACATCACACCTTTGGGTCAGAAATCTCCAAAGGCAATTAGTCACCTAACCATGACTGAAATGCATGATTTCAGCAATGTCTAGATGTTTTCATTGGTAACATTATATTACATATAACACCCTGCAACTGCCTATAAACAAATGGGGGGCTTTTATGGCTGGGCTCACTTCGTGTCTTTAATTTTGATGTGTCTGGTGCTGCCCACCTGCTCAGAGAGGCCACCTCCCTCACCCTGACAGCCAGCACAACAAACTTGGTCATTTATAACCAAAAGGCCAGGATGGGCAGGCACAGGGAAGTGTCTGGGTTTTCAGATGCATGTTTGGATCCCTCCTTGATGAGAAGACACCTCTCAGGAAGGTAACCTAAACACAGCACCACTGATATCACCCATCGCCGTCCCCTCCGGGAGCTGGATTTTAGAAGAAAAGTGTGAGTGAGTCATGCAAGGAACATAAAGGGATGATATGGAGCCCAAAGCCTAGAAAATATCTGGAAGGGTAAATAACAGACGAGACTTGCAAAACATTCCCGCGCTCCTCCGTTCGTTTTGAATTCCATTCTCAGGACATCAGCTCTCTGCACACAGCGCTCCTGAACATCCACCTCGGGCTTGGGAACCACTCTGCCAGGCCTGGAGACAGAGAAGTAGACACTGCTGAGTACCTACAGAATCTTTTCCTAGCAGTGATCATGTGAAAGCACATATTCAACTTGCAGTCCTCATCCCACAGGGATGGCTCATCAGGTCATATCAGGCAGTTTGTCACCTCCCCTCCCACAGTCTGCCTTTTCCACTTGCCTTTCAACCACGTTTTTGCAACAATAAATCCTTCCAAAGGCCAGCTGGGGCACGTGGGATAGCACTGCGTGGTGCCTTACAAGGTCTCTGCCCAGGAAGAACAGGTACAAACAGTTCAGCTTTTCACCCACCAAGATGAAACCCAGGAACAAAATGTCACCTGTCCCTTTGGACCAGTATTGGGAACAGCTTATCTTTTGAGGGAACACTTCCAGAGAAGACTTAAGAACTTTAAGGGTCATTGGTTGTAAACAGCAGGTAAATCCCTATATTATGAAGCTATGAGAGAAGTGAATGGCTCCTGAAGTCATATATATTTTACCTCTTTATCTCACCAAATTTATAACTGCAATTTCTCCTGTATGTCACCAATTAAGTAAAACACCTATTTTGAAGTCAACACTATTCTTATTTCACAAAAGACCTTAGTTAGTAATTATCTTAAAGACCTTAGATATTAATTATTCTTTGACCAGCATATTTTCTCTAGGCAAGACTTGAAAGACTCGAAGGAAGGAGCATGGTGGTGGAAATGAACCTACTCGTGCATTTGTTCTCACACAAAACATCACCATTTTTAGAATCTTTATCTGTGAGTTTTTCTCTCATTTTTAATGAGTTCTTCTGGGTCAACAGCCATCCAACACTCATCTCTTAAAGAATGCACATTTTCATTTTTTCTACTTTAATTACAGCAAGGATGTCAGGTGTTCAGCTTTTTGTTTGTTTGTTTTTTTGTTTATTTGTTTGTTTTCTGTGTGTGAAAAATCCCAGATAAGCAAAGCAATTGTGTGGCTTAGCCATCATTCCACAATCTTTCAGGATAGTTTTCACTTTTCCATGAAGAATTTATATATTCTGTGCCTCAGTCTCTTAGCTTGGTATCCTGTTGCTGCTTCACCTGGTCTCCCACTACAAGGAGGGGAGGGATAAAAGCTGGAGAACCAGGTGAAAGAGCTGACAAAGGAGTATGTTTTCCTCTGAGGGAAGGAACTGAGAAAAGTATTAATTCCATGACTTTTGCACCATAGTTCAGCTAAGTTTCAAGTGCACCACTTTCCGGTAGACAGATACTGTGCCAGTGCCCTTGTACTGTCATTTCAATAGGCTTTTGGAAAGAAGAGAACTGTTAAATTGAAATATTGAGGATAAGGAGAAATTTATATTATTAGAGTGCATTTTCTAACTTGGGATTAGCTACTGATTAAGAAAATTTTGTTGATTGAAAGCCAGCATCACAGGGTCCTGATCCTGTTTGCCATTTGAGGCACTGTGGTAAATCAAGCAATGATTGTAATGTATTCCATGATAGTTTTTTTCAAGAATGATGCAGCCAAATTCCACTGTTCTCATGTTATTCTACCTGGACAACAGAGAACAGCTTGGTATGCAGTCTAAGGTGTGTTTGGTCTTTTAGTTTAGTGCTCTTCACTAGGTCAGCAGAATCCTTTAATTATAATCACAGCACGGCTTTAGAGAAACCCACAGTATTTTTTTAATATCTGGATATTAATAAATTGTATGAGCTAAAATAAACTGCTACCACCTGGGGCAAAGTATCTGTTGCATAAAAGGAAGACAAAATTACTGCTTGAAATACCGTCCCTATTGTCACTGCTGAGGAGGGATCAGATAGCAGGCATGGAGAGCCTTCAAATAATGAGGCAATATAAATTCTTGCATAGAGAACCTCAGCTGTCACTTGATTCCTATCTTCAATTATATTAAGTGTCCCAGCAGTGTTTGATTGGGTTTGTTTAAGTCATTAGTGATGCACTGGAGGAAAAGGATACTGTTATTGGTACTGAGGTTGTAACAGAACACCACGAAAAGTCGATGTTTATTTCAAGTATATTTGAACAGATTGACCAAAACAGAATTATGGCTTCAGTAGAGACCTTTTACATAGGAACTGTGTCTTCTGACTGAAGAGACTTATATAGCATCTCCAGTTCTGCTGATCTGAGTTTCTAAATCACATGTCTGTATAACATTTTTATGCAAAATCATAGTTTCAGACAAAGTTCTACCGTGCTGTAACTGGAAACATTTTTTAAAACGTGTGTGCATTTCAAAACACAGGAAGAACATCTGTATGTGCTAAAGAAGTATACAAACAACGTGTCCTGAGGTGAATTTGTAGGGCCACTTGATGGGTCTGTTGATTTGAAGTTACTGTACTTGTAAGGGGACTGAAATATCCATACAGTGTTATGAATATCTGGTTAATCTTAACTAGTTTCTCTGTGGTGGAATTAAGCTATTGATCATGAAAAGCATTCAAATGAAACATTCGAGTCCAAATATATTCAAAATACAGGTGACACTACTTTATTATCTGTGTAGCAATTTTGAATAACAAGTGATGGTGCATGAAAAACTGAAAAATTCTGTATTTGTATTGCACTCTTGGTTTTGTCTTCCAGGCACTTGCAATGTATTATCAGCATCGGTTTCTCCTTGCCTCTTTCTTCCACTCCAGTTCTAAAAAGAACAACTCTTTCTCAAGTGTTATGGGGCAGGAGAACTTGAGAGCTGTGTATTCTAGGAACTGGAACATTCCATAAACGTTCCTTTAAAAACACCCTCTTGAAGTAGACAATTTAATTGTTCTTCTTGAGTGAAATCAAACACAAGCAGCAGAGTGCTGAATATGGATCATTCTACGGAGAGCTGATGTTTAAACAATAATTATGACCAACTGGGTTCTTTGTAGGAAAACCTGGAAAATTTGAAGAGGGTTTAAAAATGAATTAATAACTCTTGGTACTGCAACCCAAGATGCGCAGGTGACCTGCACTGGAGTCATGAAACAGGAACTCCAAGCTAATACACAACACCTGCAGCTGACCTTGTTCTGTTACTGGCACTACATGCTTTGAATAAGGAGTCTCTTCTTGTGTTACCCTAATGTGGAAAGTAAGATAAAATTGAAAGTGTCTGTTCTAGTGAGAATATAGAGCAGAAGGTCAGGAAGATTGGCTAAGTCAGCGTTTTGTATTTTTAAAATTCACTAACTCTATTAAGTGTTAATGTGAACCAGAGATTTATAAATTCAACATATTAACACCGTTCTCTATTTTGTATTCATGTGCAATAACTGACTTGCCAGGCTTCTGTCATGAGGATATGACAGGAGCATAGGTGTGTGCAAATATACAGCATTTTCTCAACCTCGACAATGACACGTCACTGTGAAGGCAGTAGGCTATGTCTGACAAATCTGCTGAAAATGAAGATGCAATAATATATTCCTTTTTTTAATTGGAAAAGCAGGTATTATTTATGAGGCATATTTGTGAATGCATTATATGATAGTCAGTGCAATTTTATATCCCATGGGTAGGTACAGCATGAAGAATTTATACTCTCCAGAGGTGTGTCCATGCACCTCACTGCAATTAACAATTCAATTTTCGGGTCAGGATATAAAATTTTTGATTTTCAGTTTCAAGATAGATCCAACCCCCTTTTTTTCCCTACAGATAGTAGTGCAAGGATTCTTGTTTTGTAGAAAAACGTTGCTCATGATTCTGGGAGAGGAGTTCCCCAAAACATGACAAATGAAATAGAACAAATGCATCAAAACCAAGGCATTTAATAAAACAGATCATATTTTTTCGACTCTAAAACGTGTGCTAAAATGTGTAACTATACTTTGCTTCAAAGAGTGAAAGATTCCTCCCTCTCCTGGGGGTCTGCAGCACCACCATAGCACATACACGGCTTTTCAAAGCTATGACTACCCCTAGGCAAATGTATTTGGGGGATTGGACTCATCAGTCCTGGCAAGCTCATCCTTCTTGACTTCTCTGTTAAAAGCACCGGAGGTGGAGTCCTTGGGGACAGTTTGGGCTGGTGCTGGGATATCTGTGATCCAAACATGATTCTTTCTGATTGTCCCATAGCTGGTGGTAATGGTGAAGATGCTGCTTCTCTGGTATTTCCTGGCAAACATGCAACAAGTTTCTTTCATCGCCCTTCTGAAGTTTGCATTATAGATGTAGAAAAGGATTGGCTTAGAGGCTGAGGAACTGAAAGAGATCCAGGTGACAGCCAGGAAAACCAAGGAGCTCTTTCTGTAGTCTGTTTCCTGTGGGTGCCACAGCTGTGCCACGTAGAAAGGGAGCCAGGACAGGAGGAAAACTGAGTTAAAGATGAAGAACATCTTGACATTTTTCACTTTTCTTCTTGAGATCAAATTCACTGTCCTCCTGCCAGCCGTGACTTCGGTGCCTCTTCTCCAAATGTAGGTGAAGACTTTCTCGTAGCAGAGGACAGTGAAGAGGGAGGGGATCAAAAACAACAGCACTGGGAGGTGGACAATACTGGAGTCAAATCCTTGCGGAGAATCAGGCAGAAAAAAGTTGCAGTGGTGGTCACTGTCAGAGTCATAGAGAAAATAAGCTGGTGATGCAAAGAGAGCACCACAGAGCCAAGAGGCCAGAATCATTATCTTGGCTTTCTCCTTGGACATTTTGAAGCTCAGGGGACGGACGAGAGTGTAGCATCGAGCCATGCCTATGGAGAAGAGCACGTAGAGCTGGACCCCCGGGGTGAGGTACTGGATGTACCTCACCAGCTTGCACATCCCATTCCCCAGCATCCACCTGCCGTAGGTCAGCTGGAGCAGCAGGAAGGGCGCGCTCACAACACTGGTGAGCAGGTCTGCACAAGCCATGGACACCACAAAGTAGTTGGGGGATTGTGTCTTCCTGCTCCTGGGCATCACTGAGCAAAGGAGGGAGTTTCCCAAGACGGAAACCAGCCACAGCACTCCCCAAACGATGCCGGCCGCTGCCATTTCCCCCGGCCTCAGTCCATAGCCTAAGAGAGTGTGGTTCCTGCTTGAGCCGGGTCCTGTGAGTGGAGATTCTGTCACCTCATAGCCAGCAGGAGGGATGGAGGATTCAGGGTTGCTCGTGTTCTGCAGCAGGAGCAGTAAGGTGGGGAGAAGGAAAGGACCGCTGCTGTTATCCATGCTTGGGGCAAACTCGGCCACGTCTTTTGCTCAGGCTGCAGAAAGAGAGGAGAGAACAAGTTCTCTTGAGCAGCTCTGTGTGAAAAGCCTGCTTTAACCAATAAAAAATAACTCTCAGTAGTCTCCATACTCCCTAGAGTAGTAGATTTCAGAGAAAAGGGTCAGAAATACACAGTGACACTACTTGGTATAGCAAAGGGCATTAAGTTTCGTGCAGGTTTTTAGGAATGACCTGAGTATTTCAGACCAGCATTTCTGTTCTCAGAAAAGTGAATGTCCCTTTCACAACTGGAGACCGAGGTGCCATTTCACCAGAGCTGGTGAGCTGCAAACAGAATGAGTGGAATATATCCCACTGATCCCAGAAATGAGCTGTACTTCACAGTGTCCATGGAATTGTCAGAGAAGCAGAGCAAGAGGGTCCCTGCACCCTTGACTTGACCTACATTGGTCAAGAAGATAGGCAAATGAGGTGTTTCTTATACCAAGAGATGGAATGGGAAGTCACCTTTTCCACAATAACAACATCTTTATTGATAAGGATACTAGCAGACAAACTATGCTCCCATCCAATCATTAGTAACATGGGTGTTAATACCCCTCAGTTAATATTCTCAAATCTGTTTGTCTCTGGCCATAATTTTGGATGGGAGGCGAGGCCTGGATTGCAAGGCAAAGGAAAGATCATCCAAGCAGAAGGAAGGACTGGCACCAAGCTGGAAGGGCACTCCTCACCGTGAATCCCCTGCAGCCCTTCCCCAGGGAGGAACTTTCCTTCAGGAGCTGGACATTGCGTACCTGAAAGAGTCTGTTCTGAACAGCAGTGCCGACCCTTCACAGGTCACCCTGTCGAGCAGAACCTGCCTTAAGGTCCTGCAGGTCTGTAGGTGAGCCAAGGGACAACTGCAGGACTGCCAGGAGCAACCAGCACCAACGGACAACACAGAACCCCTGCCCGCAGTTAAGTCACAAAGAGCTCGACACTCTCAGAATCCTTCTGACCCAAGCACAGGACCCGGCACTTGGCCTTGTTGAACCTCATCCCACTGGCCTTGGACCATCTAGGCAGCCTGTCCAGGTCCCTCTGCAGAGCCTTCCTACCCTCCAGCAGATCAACAATGCCTCCATAAACTGGTGTCAACTCTGCAAATTGCCTGAGGAGGCACTCAGTGCCCTCGGCCGTGGTGGTTGATAAGAATATGGGACAGGACTGGCCTTGCCCAGCTCTGGGAAGGGACAATCACCTTTGGGGAGTCACTTTTTCCATGATAATAAAATCTTCATGGATAAGGACACAAGCAGCCAAACCCTGCTTCCACCCAGTCCTTAGTAACATGGGTGTTATGAACTGGTTCACACCTGAAGAACTACAGAATTTTAAACCTAATTGCCTTGCCCTCCACTCCACACGCTCAGACCATTTAGGAAACAGAGTTTGCAGTTTGATTCCCCTTCCTCCCCCAGCTGATTTAGCCCAAGGCAAGAAGATGGCAAGTTCTTCTTTCTAAGCATGTCTGAAATCAAATGCAATGGAAGATTGGGAAAGGCCTGGTAGGCAAGATCAGAGAGGCTCTCTTAGAGAAATTCCTTTACAAATCAGCACTAACTTTTGCCGTAAAGGTGCCTTGAAATTTCTAGCTGTGGGAACTGATTCCTGAAATCACTGTTTTGTATTGAGCTGGCAGGCCTCCAGGCACCAATGTGTATGCAACTGAAACAGCAGACTTCTCAGCACAGAATCATGGCATGTTTGAGGTTGGAAGGGAGGTCAGGACATTTCCAGCCTGTCCTGCTGCTTAAAGAAAGGCAGGTGTGAGATTGGACCAGAGTCTTGAAACCCTTCAGGGCTTGAGATTGTTGAACAACCTGTGAGCTGTGAGCTTTGAACATGCCTTTTGAGACGAGCTTTGAGCCAATCTTCAGAGCAGCAGCAGCAGCAAAGTTGGTGATAGTTGTGTTCTTATTGTGTCAGTACAGAAGTTAAGATACCACAACACCACATGCTCATAGCATCTGTATGGCATCTAACCATGGCAATTTTGAACAATTTACAAGGTGAGTTTACAACAGCAGGGGTTGAGTGTATGTGACATTCTTGCTCTCTAAACCATGTAGGATATTACTAGATATAAACGTCTCCTGTGAACTGTGGCCATCAAGACAAGATGCTGGACTCTGAATTGGCTGTGGTGCAGTGGAGAGGAAAATTCAATTAATAATTTATCACTAAAAAGCCCAGTTCAAAAACAGGAGGAAAAAGCAAACGGAGCAGGTAGTCAATTTACCAGTAAGGCAAAACATTCAGTAACTCAATATTCCTTGCCCCATCAATTCCACATGATGTCTGACAATCTTTTGATTTCCTAGATATAAACAAATCATTGTAGTCTTTTCTACTTGCATGTTTTTCCTGGAATACTTTCCCCCCTCTTACATTTTCTGTTCTTCTGGAAGATATACTAGTTTATTTTACACTAAACAAACAAGCAAACAAACAAAATGGATAAAATTGTGCATGTGTTTTTCGACTAGGCTTGGAAATCTGTGCAGTTTATTGGGACCATTTGTGCTACCAACAGTTTTGTTTCCCTATCAAGACTTTTTTGTGGCTAAAACATTAGATAGCTGAAAGCAGCTTTCCCTCTGGAGCATGTGTAAGTGGTCTCACGCTGTGTTCCAGAGAAAACTCTTAACGTGCCTGATGATATTTCCCTTCATTTTTATTGAGTTTCAAAGACCAGGCTCTGAGCAGTATCCATTTCTTTAATACAGGACTTTCTAGGCTGCTATTTAGATTATTTTTAATCTGAGGCTTTTTCAGTATGTAAGAAATTTGAGTCAAAAACTTGAGTCCTTTTTGCAGCTTATTTGCTCTACAGTCCACAGTCATTCAGATGAGGTTTTTAGCATGTTTCAGATGTGGTCCAGCATGATTTAATTTGCTCTGCAACAAAAAAAGGGGAGGTGAAGGATCCTGTGGGAAGAAGTGAATGTGAGAAAGACAGGAGGTTCTGGTTGAAGAGCAATAGGGGAGATTGATGTCATCAAACTCTCAGCAGAAGGTTTTGATTACTATTTTCAGAAATACATTGTATTTGCAGGACTGTGCCTTATCCCAACAAATTTTACTGCTGATGCTGCTTTAATTTAGAGCTACACTGACTTAAACCCTCCTTCTTAAGAGGTTGTCTAGCTCTCCTGTTCTTGAACCGCGTTTCATGGCTGTTTTCACCAGTCCTCCTCCCTTCAGATCTGAGTGTGGGGAAAAAACCAACCAACCAAACAAACAAAACCAAAATAACTTGAAGACTGAGGGGAGCCCTTTTAGGAACAGGTTCTTCCCCCAGAGGATGTCTGGGCAGCGTTCACAGCACCGAGCCCGACAGAGCTCAGGGAGCGTTTGGACAGCGCTTTCAGGCACACATTTTGGGATTTCTGGGGTGCCCTGAGCAGGGCCGGGAGTGCCTCCGGAGCTGAGATATTCTACCTCCGGAGCACCAGGCTCCTCCCCGAGGGCAGGGCGAGCTCCACCGGGGCCCGCTCCGTGCGGGCGGAGCTTCCGCGGGGCCGGGCGGGGCTGCGGGGAGGCCGCGATGGCGGCGCCGGCCGGGCTGTTGTGCAGGGCCGGGCTGTGCTGCCGAGCCGGGCTGTGCTGCCGGGCCGGGCTGTGCTGCCGAGCCGGGCTGTGCTGTGGGACCGGCGGGGCGCTCCCAGCCGCGCCTGGCTGTGGCCGCGCCGCCTCCTCATCGTCGTTGGCCGCGGTGAGCGGCAGGGAAGGGCCGCAGCCGCACGAAGGTGAGCGCGGCCGGGCCCGGGGGTCGTTTCGGTCGTTCCCGAAGGGAATGTCGTGGGTTTTGCCGGGCGCTGCGTGCTGCTGAGAGACCAGACCTGGCCTCCGAAAGAGCTTTTAGGTGTTGAAGGGACCCCGAGCTGCAATTGTGGACGTTTGTAGCAGTGCGGTGTGAAGCGTGGCTGCGCCTGAAAGCAGCACCGCGAGGGAGGCGGGTCGGGCCATAAAGGAGCGCTGTCCTGGAACCCGCGGGTGTCCGTCTTTCAGTTTGAATTTTTTTATGTAGCAAGAAGAGGATGAGCGGAACTGGGTGCATAAAGAATAAGGAAAAGGAAAGGACTGTGAAATTCAGGTGGTTTCGCGAGGTAGGGTTGTAAGACATACTAATGGGCGAAAAACCAAAACGCCCACTCCTAAATCCTTTTTTTTTTTGATAAATATATACAAAAGCATTAAACCTCAGAGCTCAAACCACTCACTTGAAAATCAATGGCACCGGATTCACCTTCGTCTATCTTGAGGCCACATGATCCAGTGTTGTTTTTTGGAGAGTGGAATTTGAAGTGTTTTGGAGTTTGAGGAGGGGGAGGGAATGGAGCGAAGAAAGATCTCTGTTTAGTTTGAAAATCCGGTGGTATTTGGTATATTCCTGCATCCCTGGGAGTCCATCACCACAGGTCCAAGTGATGTCCGGCTATAAAGTAGAGTCAGAGAGTGGCTCAGACCTGAAAGGAGTTAAAACTCTCACAGGATAGCTCAGTAAACTGGATTGACGTGATCCCCATCCCAAGCTCAAGAAGAGAAACAATGCAATGTGCAAACTGTTCCTGCAGAGCTGGAGGGTGGCACAGGAGAGGGTGTAAAGCAGAAGGAAGGGATGGAGTCAGGCCGGTTCTTCTTTTGGAAACAGTAACTCTGAAGTTTATCCATCTTGTGCTGTTGTGGGAGGGTGATTTGTGACTGAACAGCCACATGGGAAAGAGGGAGCACGGGGGTGAAGGTGAAGGTTTACTCTCACTCATTTCCTCGAAGTTCTTTTTTTTATCTCATGTTTCAAAAAATAAATGAGCAATCTGAAGCCTGAATACCTGATCTTCCCCTTCTTCCATGTAAAGATTGGGGAGTATTAATGGATATGGTACAAACAACACAAAAAAAAGCATAGAAGATTATGCTGCAAGCCCCCCTCAAAAAAAACACAAACTATATAACAATTTGTATTTTAAACGGCTGTTT